TTGGCTCTTGGAACATCTTACGAGACACTCCTCATGCACTTTTGAAAGTTGCGAAGAAAGTGTGGCTGGTTCCCAAGGAACGTTTATTTCCTCATTTGTAAAAAAGAAAATGATGCAGATGATACCATTTCTGAGCTTTTTTCCAGAGCCAGCATTCAGTGATTTGAGGACTGCATTGTGAGGGTAAAAGTGGGATGAGGTCTAGGAGAAAGTTATTGTGGGGCAACAGCAGGAGACAAAACACTAGAACTTTTCTGGTTGTTTATGATTTCCTAGACAGCTAAATCTATACCACTAGTACATAAAGGTGACCTGTGGCCGCAGGATCAGTGATTTAAGGAATAATTACATGATACTGCTCTCTCCTTTCCACACTCCACTGTATCTATGAAGGAAGACACTGACCTGCCCCTGGTGCAGTCCCAGTCTCTTTGTCTCAGGCGGTCCTCCTCTCTTTGTTCAGTCTACTAAACGATACAGAGAGGTAAGGTGAAAATTAAAATACCATGTGATAAGCCCTTCCATGGAATAAGTGTTGGGCACTTGAAAGTGTACAGGAGACCCAGGTATGTAGTATTTTGGCAGCTAAAGGCCAGGTAAATGGGAGTAGGAACACCTGGGTTCAGACTCAAGGTGGAGGGGCACAGGGAGCAGATGGGGCTCAGGTTCAAGGGGCTACTTGGCAGTTGTAGCAGTATAGGGTCAAGAAAGGGCAGGAGACCAGACTGGAACCAAATAACCAAGGGCTTTGTGATTTAGGCTGATCAGTTTTCATTTATTCTGACAGCAATGGGAGCTATTAAAAAGTTTGGAGGTTGAAACCAGATTTGTTTTCACAATAGGATGGAAAAAAGTTTTTGAATGCCAAGAGTACCTCTGTTTGTATGTTTTGGGTCAGTTGTCTTGTTTCATAAGTGTAGTATGATTTATTGATTTATTTCTGGTATGGGTATTGAATCTAGGGTCTTTGCAATAAACTATTTCTTCAGACCATTTTTATTTTTTATTTTGGAACAGGGTCTCACTAAGTTACTAAATTACCCAGACTGGGCTCAAACCTGCAATATTCTTGCCTCTGCTTTCCAGAGTTCTGAGATTACAGATGTGACTCACCATGCCTACAGTATAGTATAATTTTAAACAGTAGCTCTTCAAAGTCACTCCTACACTGGCTGGACCCAAAGAGGAAATAACCAACAAAGAGTTTTAAGTATAGCCTGATTTGTGATTATCTTTATGTTGAGCCCCTGCCCCTGAGCCACAAAGGGTCCTGGGTACTCTTAAGTGAAAATTTCCAAACTGTGTCTGGGGTCCTTGGCACCTGAAGACCAGGGCAAAACCAAGAAGGGATCACCAAGATCAAAGTCATTTTCAAGGCCTAACCTTCTCTTTGGCAGGCAGGTGTATTCCAACGGTCCCCACTCCTTCAGGAATTGTTGCAACCTTTTTCTGCTTCTTGTGGCATTTTCCTTGTTCCCTGATCTTTTGCAAATGACAGTGGATGGCATAATGAGATAATTGGCTGAGGGGGTACCTGATAAAAGGTTACTAGTTTCATAGAGAGTAATGCTTCCCATGTAGTTTAAATTCATGACTTTCCTTTAGAAGATACTTAAAGAATGATGCTAAGATGAGAATCCTTTTAAACTGTTTACGTGGCAGATGGGCAGGAGATATTTTTTGAAGCATTCTTATTGAGATATAATTTCTCAATAGCTGAAAGGCAAAGCAATTAAAGTGTCTGTCCGTGGATATCCATTCAAAGGAATATCATTCAGCCTTAAAAATGTGAAGGATGTTCTGACATGTGCTACAATGTGGATGAACTTTGAAGACATTATGCTAATAAACCAGTTTTGAGAAGACAATATTGTACATATGAGGTGGCTAATATGGCTGAAATATGTAGAAACAGAAAGTCCAGCGGAGGTTGGGGTGGAGGAGGAAGCCATCCTTTAATGAGTACAAAGTTTCAGTTTTGCAGATGAAAAGAGGCATGGATGGACTTTGGCAATTTGCTCCACAATATGGCAAATGTGGTTAATGTCACTGAACTGTACGCCAAAACAGATTCGGATGGTAAATTTTGTTATGTGCATTTAAAAAAAAATCTGCTTAAACTATACAATTCAGTGATTTTTTAAATATATAATTGTGAAAGTATGCCATAATCTAATTTTATTACATTCTTACCCCTTTATAAAAGCCCTTTCTTATACATGATTGATCCTAGAGCCTTGGCACCACGCTATATTTCCAACCCTTTGAAAAATTTTAATTTTGAGACAGGGTGTTGTTAAGCTGCTAAATTGCCCAGGTGTGGCTTGAACTTGCAATCTTCCTGCCTTAGCCTCCCAGAGCGCTGGGATTTCAGGTATTTGCTACCACGCTTTGCTGAGGAAGCTCTTTTTAACAGGCCAAAGATGTCGTGCCTTATTTTTTAGAACTTGGTGCTATCATCTCCTAGAAGAAACCTGAGAGATTTAGTTCAGACTCCTCAGATAAAAAAATTGAGACTCAGGAAGCACAAAGTGTCTCAGAAAATGTCACACCACTAATTTGGGGCAGAGTGAGGTTTTGATTTCCTGTGAAGTTATTTTATTTCCCACAGTAAAAAATGAAAATGTTGTATCATTCACTTCCTTCCATCTGATGCTGACAATAGGGTCTTGGTGGGGAGAAGATGTCGCCCTTCCCTGCTGTGGACAGCTGTGCGCTTTCTCCAGGTTTGCACCCCATCCTCCTCAGGTGAAAAGCAGAAAGTAAAGGGAGGAGAGCAGGAGTATTTTCAACTGCATTCAACAACGTCCTGCATGATTTAACTGCGTCAGAGTTAGAATGAGTTTTACTGAGAATAATGTCTCTTTTCTTGGGGAGTAATCGGAAACACAGCAAGAGGCAGTGACTTCACTTTCAAGTGACATGGCCTCTTACAGAGATGGCAGTGGTATGTGGCAGCAAACAGCAATGTCAGGTGGCAGTAATGTGAAGGCCTTGGGCTGGCAGTGGGGCCATTACATCCCTGGCCATGGGACTGATGGAGAACAGCAGAGGATGAGGGAGTTGGTGCTTTGGTAAGTCTGTCTTATGCTTCTTTCCTTTCTACTTATAAAAGTACTTAGGCTCAACAGAAATCACCTGTGGCTGGGTGATTCAGTGGAAAAAGGTTGGCGTTGGAGAGGGTGGGGGACTAATTTTGTCGATAAGTGCCTTCAAAAACTGTTCCAATAGCCAGGGACGGTAGTGCATGCCCATAGTCCTAGCAACTCAAGAGGCTGAAGCAGAAAGATCCCAAGTTCAAGGCCAGCCTGGACAACTACACAAGACTGTGTTAAAATAAAAACGGCTCAGGATGTAGCTCAATGAGGCCCCCTGGGTTTCATCCCTAATCCTGAAAAATAAGTGTTTCAGTGTTTCTTCTGAATCCATTACTCAAAGCATTTCCAACAGCCCTAATTTCCAAGAGGTCTGGTGGAGAGCTGAGGATTCTGTAGCTGCTAAACATGGAGTAAGAGACCAAGGCTATGGAAAATCAGATCGTCTCTATAGACTCAGAAATCACTAGATACATACTGAGGCCTAATCCTGGATGGTGAGGCTGGGTCTCATTTTTCACCCTTTGGAATCTGGTTATTTGATCTATCTTCCTGAGGATGACACAGGCCCCTAAAAGTGCTTGGAATTCCTATAGCCAGGCCAATCAAGAAGCAGGTACTCTAAATGTCCTCTGGACTTTCATTGGATGAGACAAACCTGTCTAGAAAGACTGCTGTGGGGAATGACACAGGCTCCCAGACAATGAGCACTGTGAGCACAGTGACTGGATCATTCATTTTTAAGCTCCTAGTGCCTAGCAGATGCTTGGCACATTTGTATGCTGAATGAGAGAATGAGTAGTAACATTTCGCATCAGATGACACACTGCTATTTACAAAGTGATTTATTTCGCTTGCATGAATGGATCCTCACAAGTGCCCATACTTTAGCCCTAGAAGACAAGCAAGACTGTTTTATACATGAGGTCACATAGCTGTAGGTTGTAGAGGTGGCTTTCAGACACTGAATCCACTGGTGTTTTTATATAGGTGTTTTACTTAGACTACCATTCCCAAGACTAAGAGAGCTATGATTAAGGATTCAACTGGACATTTGTGGCTTGTATAATCTCTTTCTAAATCTGGGGTAAACATATTTTTCACCTAACTCTCAGCAATGGTAGTATTTTCTACTTTAATTTCCCAATTCAATTACAATATGAGTTAAACAGAATTTAGAGGCTTGATTGGTAAACTGATGAATCCACATGTAGTTTGTAGTAGATATTTCCTGATATAGATTTGGCATGATAACACAATTGTATCTAATGCAATTTTTGCTAAATTTGATTAACTCACTCTCAGCTTTATGGCCCTGGGTCTTCAAGAAACATATGTTCAAAAATTCTTACTGTTTAATGAGATCCTTGTTCCTGTTGAACTTTTATGACCTTATTGGAAATCAATAATTGATTCTGATCTAAATGTAATGTTGAGGAGATCTAGATTAAATCTACAAAATGATTTGAGCTTACAGGATGTGGAGAGTGTGCTGTAATTAAAATGAATGCTTCCGCTTGGAGGCATACCGTGTTTTTAAGTCTGTGTGCATACTGTGCATGAGGGAATTTCTCAATGCGAAATTATTTTCCCCCAACAATTGGCACGATCACAGCACTCTTAGCAGGTCTCACCTAACTCCTGTGCAGCTGCTGAGCTGAAACAGGGAAAGGGAGCTTTCCTTTCTTAGCAACGGTTGCTAGGGGGCGTGGTTTTAAAATTGGGTTTGGACGCCTTCGGTTGCCCCTTCCCCCCACCTTCGTGGACTACACTTCCCGTGATGCTCGAGGGTGGTCTCCGTCGTGACGCACTTGATTCCGCGGAGGGAGGGAGGCCCAGCGCGAAGGCGGGGGCGGTGGCTGCGGGGTGGGGGGGTGTTCTCTCTCCTCGGGTGTCTTACTCGCACTCAGGCAGCCGCCGCCATGTTGGTTTGAGGAGCGATAACAGGAGGCGTCCGCGGCTTGTGGGATTGATAAGTGGAGGAGGAGGAAGAGACAAAGCTCTGAGAGGGAACCATTCCTGTGCTGAGGAGAGGGAGGACCCGGCCGTTTCCGGGAGCAGCCGAAGGCGGCGACGCCGGAGCTCTCCAGGCCCGGGAGGGGCGGGGGAGGCGGAGGCGCGCGGAGGAGATGCGCCCGGACCCTCGCTGCAGCCCGGAGGCGCCGGCGGCCTGAGCCCCAAGGGGCCGTGGCGGTCCCGTCCGTCTCGCAGCCGCGGCCTGACGCTTCGGCTCCCCGAGTTCAATGCCCTTGAGTGCGGGTTTCAGCGGCCCGGCTCTCTGCCCCGGCGGCGCGAGTTGAGCCGTTTTCCGCGCGGCTCCGGGCTGGGTGCGCGGACGGCGCCGGCCACAGCGCGGCCGCCCCTCCAGTGTCGCGCGTCGATGTGTAGCCACATAGTTATCTATGTACATCCACGCCGGGGCATTTTTCTCCTGCTTAATGAGGACTTGACTCGGGAGCGAGTGTGAATCACTGCCGGGGCTGGGAAAGGAGGAAGGCGGATTTAACCCCCTCCCACCCCGCTCCATGTCGGTGTGTCACTCGGCTCGGTCCACCTGGCGCGGCCGGTCCCGGGGCTGCCACTGACTGCTGCTGACGACGACGGCGACGGGGGCTGCCGCCGCCACCCCGAGAGTTTCCTCGCGCTCCGGCCACACGGCTCCTGGGGATTGTTCCTCTTCGCACCAGATCCTCGGCCGGGCGGGCGCTTCGGCTCCGAAATAACTTACTACCCTTGTTTTGGAAAGCACATCAAGAAGGAATTAACATTGTGAAGACTCATTTTTGTGGCTCGAAGACTTCTGCCCTTTTTTTGTTTTCTGCGTAAACATCTGGGTGTATATCCGAACGGCAAGATGTCTAGTAATGTCCCGGCGGATATGGTAAGTGAGCGATAAGTTGTGACATTCTTTGATTTAATTGTGGTTTCTAGTGTTGGGTAATCAGAGGAGACCCCGGCATGAAGGTATGCAGGGGACTCTCGAAAAGCCACTGGGCTGGAAG